TACTGCGACGCGTTGGGTGAACTGCATGACGAGATTGAAGAAATGTCGCACAACGTAAACGACAGCCAACGGCTTACCGGCAACGCAATGCCGGCTTTGAATTCTACGCTACCTGGTCAAATTAGCACGCCTAAGTCTATTCTACCTAAGATTGAGTTGCCCAAATTTGACGGGTCATTCCAAAAGTGGCTTTGTTTTAAAGATCTGTTCTTCACGTGTATTGTGCAGGATTCGTCACTATCCAATGTTCAACGGATGCATTATCTCAAAGGTAGCTTGCAAGGTGAAGCTGAAGCTATGCTTCGAAATTTAAATGTAATGGAAGATAATTTCCAAATTGCTTGGGATATGTTGCAAAAGCGATATGACAACAAACGCCGCATGGTAAAATCGTATCTTTGCAACATACTCAAGCTAACCCCAGTACAAACAGAGTCCGATGTGAATCTACGCAAACTACTTGATAATGTTACCGAGTCTGTACGTGCTTTAAAGCAACTTGGTCGTCCAACGAATCACTGGGACGACTGGCTCGTCTTCCTGGTGACGGAAAAGTTAGATCCAGTAACAGTTAAGGACTGGGAGATGTCCCTTGCTTCTTCAGACGTATTGCCTGAGTATGATGCTCTGACATCCTTCCTCGAGAAGCGCATTCAGGGCCTAGAAGCAATGGTTGCTGTCACAAAAGTAAAACCCAAGGAGTCAGCTCCAAAGCCGCCTCAGCACGCGGCTATTCGTAGTCATCAAACAAGCCTTGGTCGATGCCCATGCTGTGCTGGGAAGCACGCGTTGATGTACTGTTCAGAGTTTCGCAGAAAAACGCCAAGTGCAAAACTTGATGTGGTTACAAACTTTAAGCTTTGCCGAAACTGTCTTAAGGCAATATGACAGGTTAAAAACCAACTTCAAAAAATAAAACACTAAAATGCAAAAAATTAATTTTGAGAGCTTAAGTATTAACTCAAGAATTATCAAATTATGTAATAAAACTCTCATATGCAACTATATTTGAAGTCAGGCGAGGTTAAGAACCTGCCTTAGGGTCCATGCACAATTCCTTCGTGCCTACAGCTCTGGTGAAAATCCAGTGCGGAAAGAAGTATTGCATTACATGTGTGATAAATAATGTAATGAATTTCTTATGACTTCTAGGTTCTACTTCTGTTTACTACGTAATCAGCATTCTAATGTATCTAAAAAGTCCCAAAGAATTCATATTAAATTACATTTATTCCTCGATACTAGGAAATGCAAAATTGAATGCCATACTTTTCTTAGGACATCGGAGTGAGGGAAAAATGCGTTTTCGAATGTGAAAAGGCTGTTTTACTGACTATTTTTTCGATTACTGTTACGGAGGAGTGCAACTCTGCGTTGATACAACCATGCGCTAATGTTCCAATGCCATATGTCAATCGCTTTATTGCTTTTTCTTTTCCTTTTTTTCTCGCTCTTCTCATACGGATCTCAGCGACAGCGAACGTGTTCATATTTCGACCTCTTAATAAAATTTGTAATTTGCAAAATAAATAAAGTTTATTTTTTCGTTTAAAGTTTAACATTTTGGCATCCCTTCCGGGGAACCTTAACTCCCTGTGCAACCTAAATTAGATATCTTATAAAGATTTGCGTGATTTAATAAGATTGTTTTTTTTTATATAACCTCATTATATCGCGACTACCACATGAACATGCCGTTGTCGAAAGAAGAAGCCATCGCCAAACTGATCTTCAATTTCTCGGCGAATTCTCGCAAGGCTGGGAAGCAGAAGAAAACCAAGGGATTCCTCATAGCCAGAAGAAATTTGCTCGTAGATTACTGGCAAAAATATAGTGCACTTCGCGATGACATTTCTTCAAT